TTAAGCAAATACAAGCAGACACCTATTGGTCTGGGAGAAAGATGTAATGGGGACTTATTTTCTTTTGTGGCTTAATAGCAACTGTTTCTCCCCTTGGTTTGCAGTGTGCAGAAGTTGGGTTGACTTGCATAAGAGGCTCAGGATTTTTCTGGGTAGGAAAGTACAGGAGCACAGGCTCCTTTTATGGAGTTTGGAAGTGAGAGGAACGTCATGAGTGTATCCTGGGGTAGCCAGGACCTCAGAATGATTGGCAGAAAATTACTCTAATGTGTTCAGAGTGGGAGTTACTGTGGGGGAAAAGGGTGTCTGGCTTTGTGACTTGGGCTTATCACAAACCCTAATGATGTTTGTGGGAGCCACCAGCATCAAGCTCTGGGCACATGACACAGCACATAGGTGTGATTAGAGGAGCTGAAACCTGCAAACTGGGTCAGGATCTGGGCCAAGGACATAACCACAGGGCAGACAAATATCCTAAGCTAGCAAAGGCAGAGCTTCAACAGCATGAGGCAACAAGAAGCAATGACAGTAATGACCAGATTAGATTTTTAAGTTGTTATTTCATTTGACAAAAAGAAGTCCCGGAATTCTTATATAATTTTGAGAGAACAGAAAGAGGGAAACATAGTTCTAACAGGAACATACAGGACCTTCAAAGCGTGAACTGAAAAACAAAGTGTGACTATGTTTGTATCCCAAGCTAGTGAAGTAGGTCACACCAATTACAGGTTGAGAAACAAAGGAACTTTGTCACACAGGAGGCACCAAATGAGCAGAGGGGTGGAGATGGAAATGAGTCTGCTGTGTGGTTTGTGGGGGACCCACAGTGAAAAGGGTCAAGTTGGCAGTGGTCAGATATGAGCTTGTGTGGGTAAATGAATGATATGGTTTGGCTGTGTCCCCACCCAAATCTCATCTTGAACTGTAGTTCCCATAATCCCAATGTGTCATAGGAGAGACCCAGTGGGAGGTAATTGGATCATGGGGGCAGTTACCCCCATGCTGTTCTTGTGATAGTGAGTGAGTTTTCATGAGATCTGATGGCTTTATAAGGGGTTCCCCCTTTTTGCTCTGCACTTCTCCTTGCCACTGCCATGTGAAGAAGGACGTGTTTGTTTCCTTTTCTGTCATGACTGTAACTTTCCTGAGGCCCACCCCCTCCACAGCCTGGTAAAACTGTGAGTCAATTAAACTTCTTTTCTTTAAAAATTACCCAGTCTTGGGTATGTCTTTATAGAAGTGTGAGAACAGACTAATACAGTAAATTGGTACCAGGTAGTGGGATGCTACTGTAAAGATACCTGAAAATGTGAAAGTGACTTTGGAACTGTGTAACAGGCAGAGGCTGGAACAGTTTGGAGGGCTCAGAAGAAGACAGGAAAATATGGGAAAGTTTGGAACTTCCTAGAGACTTGAAGGGACTCAGAAGACAAGAAGATGTGATAAAGTTTGGAACTTCTTAGAGATTCATTGAATGGCTTTGACTAAAATGCTAATAGTGATATGGACACAAAACTCCAGGCTGAGGTGGTCTCAGATGGAGATGAGAAATTTGTTGGGAACTGGAGTAAAGGTCACTCTTGCTATGCAAAGAGACTGGTGGAATTTTGCTCCTGTCCTAAAGATCTTTGGGAACTTGAGAGAGATGACTTAGGGTTCTGGCAGAAGAAATTTCTAAGGAGCAAAGCATTCAAGAGGTGATAGAGCATAAAAGTGGAAAATTTGCAGCCCAATGATGCAGTAGAAAAGAAAAATCCCATTTTCTGGGGAGAAATTCAACCTGGCTATAGAAATTTTGCATAAATAATGAGGAGCCAAATGTTAATCACCAAGACAATGGAGAAAATGTCTCTAGAGCATGTCAGAGATCCTCACAGCAGCCCCTCCCATCACAGGCCTGGAGGAAAAAATGGTTTCTTGGGCTGGGCCCAGGGCCTTGCTGCTTTGTGCAGTCTTGGGACTTGGTGCCCTGTCTCAGTGTGGCTAAAAGGGGCCAACATACAGCTGAGGCCATTGCTCCAGAGGGTGCAAACCCCAAGCCTTGGCATCTTCCACATTGTGTTGGGCCTGTGGGTGCACAGAAGTCAAGTATTGAGGTTTGGGAACCTCTGCCCAGATTTCAGAGGATGTATGGAAACACCTGAATGTCCAGGCAGAGGTGTGCTCCAGGGCTGGAGCCCTAATGGAGAACCTCTGCTAGGGCAGTGCAGGAGGGAAATGTGGAATCGGAGCACCCACACAGAGTCCCCACTGGGGCACTGCCTGTTGAAGCTGTGAGAAGAGGACCACTGTCCTCCAGACCCCAGAATGGTAGATCCACTAACAGCTTGCATCATGTGCCTGGAAAAGCTGCAGACACTCAATGCCAGCCATGAAAGCAGCCGGGAAGTGGGGCCATACCCTGCAAAGCCACAGGAGTGGAGCTGCCCAAGGCCATGGGAACTCACCTCTTGCATCTCATGTGATCTGGATGTGAGACAGGGAGTCAAAGGAGATCATTTTGGAGCTTTAGGATTTGACGGCCCCATTGGATTTTGGATTTGCATGGGGCTTGTAGCCCATTCATTTTGGCCAATTTCTCCCATTTGGAATGGGTGTATTTACCCAATGCCTGTACCCCCATTGTATCTAGGAAGTAACTAACTTGCTTTTGATTTTGCAGACTCATAGGCAGAAGGGGTTTGCCTTGTTTCAGATGAGTCTTTGGACTTAGACTTTTGAGTTAATGCTGGAATGACTTAAGAATTTGTGGGACTGTTGGGAAGGCATAATTGTGTTTTGAAATGTGAGGATATGAGATTTGGGAGAGGCCAGGGAAGGAATGATATGGTTTGGCTATGTCCCCACTCAAATCTCATCTTGAACTGTAATTCCCATAATCCCGACATGTCGTGGGAGGGACCTGGTGGGAAGTAGTTGAATCATGGGGGCAGTTACCTCCATGCTGTTCTCATGATAGTGAGTGAGTTCTCATGAGAGTTGATGGTTTTATAAGGGATTTTCCCCCCACTTTGCTCTGCACTTCTCCTTGTTGCAGTCATGTGGAGGAGGATGTGTTTGTTTCCTTTTCCATCATGATTGTAAGTTTCCTGAGGCCCACCCCCCACCCAACCCTGCAGAACTGTGGGTCAATTAAACCCCTTTCCTTTATAAATTACCCAGTCTCAGGTATGTCCTTATACCAGTGTGAGAATGGACTAATACAATGAAGTTAGATTATGGATGGGTTATGGTGGTGGCAGACCAGAAATGTGGGCATTATTCCCAGAGGCTATGGCTTTTGGAGCATGTAAGCCCAAGCAGTAATTCTTTTTTTTTTTTTTTTTGAGACGGAGTCTCACTCTGTCCCCCAGGCTGGAGTGCAGTGGCGCGATCTCGCTCACTGCAAGCTCCGCCTCCTGGGTTCATGCCATTCTCCTGCCTCAGCCTCCTGAGTAGCTGGGACTACAGGCGCCCGCCACCGCGCCCAGCTAACTTTTTGTATTTTTAGTAGAGACGGGGTTTCACCGTCGTCTCGATCTCCTGAACTGTGTGATCCGCCCACCTTGGCCTCTCAAAGTGCTGTGATTACAGGCGTGAGCCACCGCACCCGGCCCAAGCAGTAATTTTGATGGTGCCTTGAAGAATGAGTGGCAGGGGTAGGGGTCTGGAGGCAGGGAGGCCAGCTGAAGGATTGGGTCCAGGGGATGGCTGCCTGATGCCTCGAGGGCATGGATTGAGTTTTCATCATCCCCAGTCCCCAGTGGAGTGTCTGATGCATAGTAAGTGCTCATAAAAGACTTGCTAAATTGAATTACAAGAATGCTGTCACCTAGTGGGAAGCAATCTCTAGGTGCGAAATGGAGCTCCTGGTTTCAGAAACTGGGATACCCGGATTCCAAGTTCTGGCATTTCTTGTCTATGTGATGTGCAACTTATTTCACCTTGTTGGAATTTCAGTTTCTTTAGGTATGAAGATCATTCAGCTATTCATTCACCAAGCACTTGTTGATCATAGCCAAGAACCACATATTGTGCTAAACTTGGGAGAATCAAAGAGGAACAATATGATATTCCTGTCTTCGAAGACTTTGTGATTTAGTTGGAGAGATGTATGTACAAGAAAATCATTTATGGCCGGGTGCAGTGGCTCAAGCCTGTAATCCCAGCACTTGGGAGGCTGAGAAGGGCAGATCACGAGGTCAGGAGATCGAGACCATCCTGGCTAACACGGTAAAACCCCGTCTTTACTAAAAAAGTACAAAAAAAATAGCCAGGCAAGGTGGCGGGCACCTGTAGTCCCAGCTACTTGGGAGGCTGAGGCAGGAGAATGGCGTAAACCTGGGAGGCGGAGCTTGCAGTGAGCTGAGATCCGGCCACTGCACTCCAGCCTGGGCGACAGAGCCAGACTCTGTCTCAAAAAAGAAAAAAAAAGAAAGAAAATAATTTATTACTGCATAGAGTGTGTTTTCATTGAGGGATGCACAAAGTGCAATGGGATTGCAGAATGATCCCTAACGTGTATTCAGCACTTACCATGTGTTAGGAACTGTTCAAAGTTCATGCAGGTATTTAATCCTCATAATAACCAATGAGGTAGTTATTTCTATGATCTCTATTTTCTGGAAAGGAAACTGAGGCACAGAGCTTAAATAACTTTCCCATGTTTCTACATTTGATAGATGGGAAAGGGGCAACTAGCAGAGAGACTAGTACAAGTAAAAGTGCAAGAGTCTGAAATAACATTTTGTTTGCTAGAACAGTACATGAGACTAGAAAAGAGTACGGAACCAAAGCATAATGGGCTTTGAATGCTATATTAGAAAATTTGGACTCTACCTAAGAAAGCTTTCCAGCATTTTCCAAAGTGTTTGGAGGAACTTAAGTTCTGAGAAACCTTAATATAGTTGTGTATTAGTCAGAGAAACAGACTACTGGCTCTGTTCTTCAGAGAACAGAAACAGAATCAATAAGTTATGTTTTTATGTACTAACTTGTCTACTCATCGTAAACAATTACAGGTTGAAAAAGTCCAAGATTTGCAGTCTGCAAGTTAGAGACCCAGGAGAGCCAATGTCCAGTTGCAGTCTGAGTCCAAAGGCCTGAGAACCATAAGAGCTGATGGTATAAGTTCCAGTCCAAAAGCCAGCAGGCTTGAAACCCAAGAAGAGCTGATGTTTCGGTACAAGACTGAAGGTTAGAAAAGATCAATATCTCAGCTCCAGCAGTCAAGTGGGAAGAATCCCTTTGACTCAACCTTTTTGATCTATTCAGGCCTTTAATTGATTGGATGAGGCCCACCCACATTAGGGAGGGCAGTCTGCTTCACTCAGCCCACCACTTCAAACATCAACACTTCAAATATCAACCTCATCCAGAAATACTCTCACAGACACACCCAGAATAACATTTGACCAAATGTCTGGGCACCCTGTGGCCCAGTCAGGTTGGCACATAAAATGAACTACCACAAGGTGTTAGGTGTAAAAAGGTGTCTACAGTTGCAGTGAACAATGCTGGCTGCTTACCATTCTCCTCTTTGCCTTCTTTTTTTAAATTTTTATTTATTTATTATTATTATTTTTTTATTTTTATTTTTATTTTTTTTTGAGACGGAGTCTTGCTCTGTCCCCCTGGCTGGAGTGCAGTGGCACTATCTCGGCTCACTGCAAGCTCCGCCTCCCGGGATCATGCCATTCTCCTGCCTCAGCCTCCCAAGTAGCCGGGACTACAGGCGCCCGCCACCGCGCCCGGCTAATTTTTTTTTGTATTTTTAGTAGAGACAGGGTTTCACCATGTTAGCCAGGATGGTCTCGATCTCCTGACCTTGTGATCCGCCCGCCTCGGCCTCCCAAAGTGCTGGGATTACAAGCGTGAGCCACCGCGCCCGGCCCTCTTTGCCTTCTTAACGGAGCTCTAGTTTTGTTCAGGAATCTGTTCCTCCTCCATGCAGCTTTATAGTTAGGGAAGCTGGCCCACCTCCAGCTTGAGAGGGATTGGTCAAAGGAAAAATTTCATTTGTTTTTTTGCTCAGTGATTGGTTCAGGAGTGGATGTGTGACCAGATTCTGGCCAATGAGACTTGAGTGTATACCAGGGAGATTGTGGGGAACTTCTCTCCTAAGAGAGGCCACGTGAAGAAATGATCCTTCTTTTTCCTCTGTCAGGCCTGAGTGTGATGCTGTAACTGTCATCCTACTACTGGCCTGAAGATGAAGCTGACACTGAGGGTGCTAGAGTAGAAAAATGTGGACACAAATCTCCCAAGCTTGTCCTACGTCTCTGAACATCTGGTTTGTGAAGCGTGACAAACAGTTCTTATTGTTTATCCCAGTTTTGAGTCAGGGTTTCTGTCACTTGTAGCTATATCCTACATGATATGATCATAAAATAAGATTGGAGGCTTGGCTTAAGCAAAAACAATGAGGCTTTTAAGATTCCAGGGTTTCTCACTCAGTGCCCAGCATTTAGTATGCAGGTGTGCTGTGCAAATACCCAAAGTTGGATATAACACACAGCATTTCCTAAACAGGTGTGACCCTGGAAACCTTTGTAGAGAAGAATCCACGGTACTGATGTCCCACAGAAATACTCCCATAGGCAATGGGAAGACTTGGGAATCCTCAAAGTAGGCGGACGGTAACATTACATGCTCAATAAAATTCCACCTTCTCCTCTCTAGCTGTGTGAAGTATCATGTCTCTGATGATCATAAAATGTAAGGGAACTCAGAAATACCTCCCCAGAAAAAGATTGCAAGCCCTTACTTACTAGACTAACTGATTTCTTAGTCCCCTTCCGGTTCTCAAATGCTGCAGGGCTTGCATAATTTGGTACCTTCATCTCCGAGCATTGAACAAAGTTTCCCTTCCTTTTCTTAGTCACTTGCCAACATCTGTGAATGAAGTCGGTGATATATATATATATATATATTCAACCAGTTATTTTCTGGATTGAATTATTTAAAATAACCCACTAAATGAATCCCTGCTCAGTAGGTCTTTGACTTAAATGCCACTCAGGCTCTGAAACGCATTTTTTATTTCTCTGGCTTTTTATTTTTTTAAGTCAAACAGCCCTAGGGAAATGGCTTGAGGCTACAAAGGGCAGTTTTCAGAATGTTTTCTCTGCAGTTAGTGACAGGGTAGACAAATAGCATAAAATAGAAGACTATACTCCATTCCAGATGGGAAACATTGCTTCTGTTGTTTTTCTTGATTTATGTTAAATTCATCATGGTTTCAAACTGAAACCACTTTGGCCCCTAAAAGCAACAGGAAAAAAAAAAAAAAAAGGAAGAGAAAAAAAAAGTGACACATCTCTATGTTAAATAATTGGATCCTTTAGAGATATAAACTGCAAATCTGGGCAGGTCAATTATCCTTTCTCCTGCTCCATACAATGGGAGTACTGGTGATTATTTCCCAGGATGGCACCACGGTTGTGTGAACTAAGAGACTTAGCAAACAGTAGAGCTCTTGTGTGATGAGGCGGGTACACGGCTGCTGTTTTCTGTCCTCATGTTGTACTGTGGTAAAGTCACCTTTGAGAACAACCTTGGCTCCAGAATGAGGGTGACTTATTGTGAACTGGAAGCCATGAAAGAAACACTTTCTCTATCACAGTCTCTCCTTTGTTAGAGGAAAAACCCCATTCCTATCCCCAAAGCCCAAACCTCAAAGATCTTCCTTAGATCTCCCTTTAATTCTTTAGAGTCCCATGCTGTTCAGCTTGGGTCTCACATTGACCCGGGGTTGCGCAACTCAGAAGTCCCTCAATTCTTTAACAGGTGACTGAGGCCAAACCAGTATGGGAGCTCCTTCGAAAAACCCAGCGAGGGCCAGGAAGGCCAGACAAGTGGACTTTCATTGCAGGGTAAGTATTGCATGTTTCTTCTGATCAGGTAATTATCGGTTATAGGACAAAGAGGAAGCCCGATTTATCAACAAAATGAAATTAAAAATTAACATGCTCCTGTTTGCTCGATTGTAATCTTTGAATCAGTCAATATCTACAGGCTGTGCCAGTAACCTGATTTCAGGGCAGCCACAGAGTCTGCTCAGAGACCAGCCCAGTTAAACAGTTAAGGCTGAGATCAGTTGGGGAAGACTGGAAATTAAATATGTTTAGGCAATGAATACTCACAAAGTGCTTAGGGATTTCTCGCTGGGGGCTGGTATTGGTGGTGCGGGTGTGCTGGGTTTGAGAGGACCCAGAGTCCCAGTCTTTCTGGATGATGTTTACTCCAGCTATCCATCCCAAGAAAGGCAGGGGCAGTAGGCAACACATTTTTCTTTTCTCTTCTCTTCTCTTCCGTTTTCTCTTTCCCTGGCCTACCACGGCAGACAATATGGCAGGTGGAAGAGTGTGGGAGCTGGTCAGAATTAAGAGTGATGGACTTGTAAGAGATTGAGGTGCAACCAGTTAGAACCTGGGGATTTGTTGCCACTCCGTACCTTCATTTTCGGGGGCCGAAGTAGATATTTAGTTATAATAAGTTTATTGAAAATACATCTATGAGCATAGTTCCTAGCACATCATAGGTATTTAATAAATATTTGGGGAATGAAATAAAGATTGAATAATTGAACGAGGCTCACACAAGACTGGAAATCAGAGAACAGGAATATTAATTTACATTTAACTAATTATAAACAGTTGTTGATACCTATATGTATGTATCACTATCTCCTCTTTCTTGCCTTTGTTTACTTGTTTTCAACTCACTTTCACTCTGTGGATGTATATAGAGTGCTCCTCAACAGGCGTGGGACACAGGGGAGTAGGAGGGAGTGGCAGGATATAATTTTGTCTGCTGGGGGACATTTATCAATGTCTTAAAGTATTTTTGGCTTTCACAACTGGGGGAGTGCGACTGGCATTTGGTAGGCAGAGGCCAGATATACTGCCAATCATCTTACAACAGAGAATTATCTGGTTCCAAATGTCAACAGTGCAAGACTGGGAAACACTGACTAGTACAGGAGCATGTCACCAAACTGTTATGATGATTACTTATGGGGAGGCCTGTAGAATAGCGTTTTGGAAAACTTTACACTTATTAAGTTTAATCGTTTATACCTATTTGGGGGATTTTTAAAAATAACATGAGGGTATCACATTTGTAATCAGAATCAATGAGAGAGGCATTGAAATATTTACCGGACATTTATTATATCTCAGGTGTGACCTAGATCCTGGGGATACAGCAGTGAGTAAATAGTAGATGCTGCACTAAGGGACTCAGTTCAACAGGAAAGATCAGACAAGTACTCACTTAGCAAGACAGGAAGTGCCCAGGGCCTGCTGAAATAGTACTTTTTTTTTTTTTTTAATTACGAAGAAAAAGTGCTTGGTGTTCCCAGGTGTAGTTACTGAGCAGCATGGTTCCAAAGGACAGCTAAAGCACTTCCTGCCTTAGAAGGAGGGGAGGCTTTGCCAGGCCTAGGAAACCCGCATCTGGATCTGGCCTCCAGGATAGCCTCCTGTCTGCCTCTCTGGTCAGGCTCAGCTTCTCCAGTTCCCCTCGCCCTGAGGGTGCAGGGGGCAGGGTCCCACGGGAGCATCGGTGTAAGAGGGAGCTCCCAGCACTGAGGGAGAAGCAGGACTCACTGACCAAACCCTGTGTTTGTGCTGGAAGGGCCTTAGGAACATCACTGCAAACACGCTCATCTTATGGAAGAGGAAAAGAGGTTCAGAGAGGGAAAGGCTTGCCTGAGGTCACACAGTGAGTTAATGTTAGGGTGGGGCTGGCATGCAGGTTGCTGATGCCTCAGCTTGGGGGTCTGCTGCTGTTCTAGGACACCCCTTGCTTCTTAGTGGGCTGACCAATTTCCTGCCTTCCCTTCCTTACCACAACAGCCTCCAAGCATGTCTGCCTGGCCCCGAGCTTGGTCTGTGTTCCCAGGTGATAGTGTTTACCCCGAGGGTCTGAGTGGGGGGTGGGGATATGACAAGAGCAGCCCACTCAGAAGCACAGCCTGGGCCAAGTGCACTATCTTAACCCTCCTGTGGGAGTCAAGCCAGTGTGGTCTGGAAGGCGGGGTGTGAGGGGTAACCACACGGCAGTAACCTCAAGTTTTGCAGGTTAGGGCTGGGGCGGGGGCAGTGCCAGTATCAATAGCCTTGGGGATGATGTGGTGTGGGATGAGGTGGGGTGTGTGCACATGTATACAATGTGTCTTTGTTAGCATAAGTAGATGTGCTTATGTGCTTGGCTATTAGGAAGAGTTAGACCCATATGTACCGAGCTGAAGGAGTGCCCCAGATATAGTGTTAAAGATGCAAATTGCTAAAAAACAAATTTAGTAATAATCCTATTTTTAGATCTAACATTTTTTGATGAATGTTTATATATGTTTGCATCAGTACAGAGAAAGATACAGAAAGATATGCTGCAAACTGCTAACACTGATTATGTTAAGACAGGGCCCCCAACCCCTGGACCGTGGACCAGTACTGGTCCTGGCCTGTTAGAAACTGGACCACACAGCAGGAGGTGAGCAGCGGGCCAGTGAGCATTTCTGCCTGAGCCCCGCCTCCTGTCCGATCAGCAGCAGCATTAGATTCTCACAGGAGTGTGAACCCTATTGTGAACTGCGCATGCAGTTGAATAAAAAAGAAAGTGTGTAATTATGTGTGCACATGACTATGTTGATGTGTGTACACACATCCATACGTGACTTTGTGTTTATGTGTGTTGCATATTTGTATGTACGGGGAAGGGAGTCTCAAAAGAGAGCAGAACTTTTGGCACAAATTCCAGACAGTGGTCACATCATCCAACCTTTGCGCTTTGGAAAGAAACCTCAAGGGTGTACACCTACTTGAAAGTTTTGACATAAAGATCACCTGCCTTGCAGGTGTGGGCTGCTCTGGGGCTCCTGGCTTAACCAAATGGCCTTGGATAAATTACAAGTGAGAGAGGCTGCTTCCTTGCAGCCAAGACCAGTGGTGGTTTAGAGCCTTCTCCAGGAAAATCTGCAGCCCCTTGCACAGTGTTCGTGCAGTGCTTCCAGTGTGCAGAGCGCTGTGTGCAGTAGGAAATGGTTCTTCTGGGAGGCCAGCTGCACAAAGGATGGGGCTTAGAAATCTCAGCCTGGGCCAGGCGCAGTGGCTCACACCTGTAATCCCAGCACTTTGGGCAGCTGAGGCGGGCAGATCATGAGGCCAGGAGTTTGAGACCAGCCTGGCCAATATAGTGAAACCCCGTTTCTACTAAAAATACAGAAAATTAGCTGGGCGTGGTGGCGGGCGCCTGTAATCCCAGCTACTTGGGAGGCTGAGGCACAAGAATCACTTGAACCCGGGAGGTGGAGGTTGCGGTGAGCTGAGATTGTGCCGTCGCACTCCAGCCCGGGCGACAGTTCAAGACTCTGTCTCAAAAACAAACAAACAAACAAACAAAAAAAGAAATCTCAGCCTGTGCTGGTCAGTTACATTCTACAGGCAGAACCAGTTTCCTCCCCCTGCCCCATTATTCCTGATATCTAGATTTTTTTCAGGTACCAGGATTTATTAATTTACTTGACCATGGCTCAGCCAACTGGTTAAGGCTGGTTTCTGTGCTGATCTAGGCTTTCTAATTCCCATTTACAGCTGCAAGAACCCATTGAGACCAATGTGGGGGGCGGTTAGAATGACTTTTTCCCAATGTCACGTGAGTTCCTGTGTGTGTGGATGTGTGTGCACACACATGTGAGAAGAGACAGCCCCGCTCCCTTGAGGAGACACAGGAGGGTGGACAGAGGGTTGTGCGCCCTGTACCTGGCCACAGGCCTGAGCATACATGCTCGCTTAGCAATAGAAGTTGATTGTGCTAGCTGGCTGATGCTCTTCCTGCCCTAAATGTCGCTTCGTCCCCTCTCTCCACAAGCTGGTTAGCAGCAGCTTGGGGGTTTGGAGGGCAAGAGGAGGTCCCTATGTGCTCTGAACCCTTCTTTTTGGACAGGTTTCTGGGGACGCAGCAGGAGCCAGGCTGGTGGGAGCAGCAGGCCGAAGTGTTTTAGAATCTTCCAGAACCCAGCAGAGGGGTGGATCTGTCCTCCAAGCATTGGGGTGGGGTTGGAGGGGCAGTGGGAAGAAACTGTGGCTGCTTTTCCTGCAGAAGCCAGAAAGTTCGAATAGGAGGAGGAGGGGTAGAAGGAGAGAGGGAAAGAGAAAGGGGTGGGTCAGGGGCTGGGGAAGGAGAAGCAAGAATGGGGAGGAGAAACAGATACTCCTTCATGGTGATTTCCAAAAGGCCTGGGAGGGACCTTGCCAAGCCACTTCCTAACCATCTTGGGGTGTCAGTGTGAGGCTTAATGGGAATGAGGAGCATGTGTATATGTCCTCAGCCTGCACAAGGGGAAATTCTGGTCTCCTAGGAAGAAAGCCCTAGAGCCAAGCCTCTTGGCCTCTGTGTCCACTCTCTGCATTTACTCTTGGAGCTCCACTCTTCTACCTTCCTTTATGTTTCCCCAATCTGTCCATCTTTGTTCTCGCTGACTCTCCTCTCCCGCCTCCAACCACTTTGAAACTCAGGCTTCTGTTTCAGGGGTGGGGGCCCCTAGAGATTCTCCTTGTCTCTAGCTCTCCCTGCCCACCTCAGCAGGACCAAGGCCACACTACTGCCCAAGAGCCTGCGTCAGCTGCCAGTAGATGGCAGGCCTCATCAAATTCAAACTCCTCACTCTGCCCTTCATCTGTTCTCAAGATCTTCTCTCCCTGGTCTTGTCCTATTCTCTGACCAGGCTTCCCTCTGAGTCTCCCTGGTGAGCCCTGAACATTCAGAGTTCATCTCTGCCTCTCTGCCTTGCTTTGCTGCCCAGGTCAGTTCCCACTCCCCAGCATTAGTCTAAAGTCAACTCATCTTCAAGTCCTGTCCCCAGGAAACC